TTTTTTCTCAATTTGTGTAAGAGAGAAGAACTTAGACATAAGTCTTTCTTTTAAATACGTTAATGCAATAACTTTCCAGCTGATTACACCTTGCAAATCAGCACGCGTTTAATCACAGACGGCAAAGGGCATGCAGAAAGGATGAAAGGTATCTACAAGCAAATTCTGTGCAGTGTCTTTCTCGCCATAAAATAGTGTTAGAAATTAGATGTACCATTTACAGCTCCCTTTGGACAGCTGTGAATTAATGGAGAGCTTAAAACCAAAATAATAATTTTATTCTTGATTAGCATTAACTGTAATGATTAAATCCATAAACTCAGTCATGTTCTAATTTTGTTACATCTTGTTTTCATAATGAAAGATCTTAATACAGATTTTGTAATTATCGCTATTAAAAGGCAATGATGCTAATTTTGTTAGAAGCCCACTCAACTTCAAGGTTAGCCATACAGCCATGGAAGCTACTGTTTGTATGTACTGTTTGCCATACGTCACAGCTATGATTAAGCTATTTGTTAGACTTGTCTTAGTCTATTGTCCTAATTGCATCTATCTTAAGGTGCGAAACCTGAAGGTACATCTGGTTTTGCAGTTCTCCATGTAACAGCCTGTTTTCATTGGTCCAGCTTTGAGAGTGAGGTGGACCAGATGCTCTCCCAGAGGTCCCTTCCGACCTAAGTTATTCCGTGATTCTAGGGTAGGCATTTGGCACCTTAATCCCTTCTCTTGTGTAAATCTGTACTAGTGATGCAAACAGTCTTGACAAGGTAATGTGTTTATCAAAACACATCCAGCACTCAGAGGAGGAGTTTAACTTCCCTCTGACGCGTATTTCTGATGAGGCCATCTTAAGTTTTAATGAGTTTCAAAGTTCTATTCAACCTGTGAACTGGAAAACCGTATCCTGAATGGTTACAGTAACTCAAGCTAAATTGCTCAGCTTGAATGACATGACTGAAGAGTAGCCATTGGACAGAGCTCCCATTGACTTCACTGAGAACAGATTCCTGTCTGCCGGTATGTCCTCTTCTGGAAATAACAATGATAGTAAAATAAAGCAATTCACCTTCTTCTTTAAACATGAGATTTATAGTGGCCAACAATTCCTATTATCAACTAATGTGAACAAGTTGTGTAAATCACTTCTGTAATCATAGGGGAAACAAATGTAATAACTTATAGAGCTTCTTGGAATTAATTCTCCTTTTAAGTGTGGAATACTTGTATTAAGTAAGCTTGCGTAAGTGATCTCTTTTTAAATGAAAATGCCTGTGAAGAAGCTGCCCAAAGAAAATAGTAGTTATGAATATGCTAAATGTGTATGGGGAATACAACTAGAGTGATAACTAAGCCAAATGGTGGCATTTGCACAGGCATTTCTTGCATTCTTCATAAAGGATCTCTTGATTCTTCCAGGGTACAGAAAAAATGTTTACAATTATTTACAATCCAGTAAAATACATCTTAGGGGCATTTTCAGTGACGGAACATGTGCAACATAAGAAAAGATTGAAATCTTACTGAAGTCTAGATTTACTTGCATAGAAAATATTATAGATAACGGCCAATAGCGAGCAAATAATTTGAAAAATATTTTCATAGTTTGTTGCTGGGACTTGTTGAGTCTCTTGGTGATGGCCCGACACCTATGTATTTATTATTTTGATGCAAATTTAACTCTCCAAGAGATAAAGTGTATGAAGAACTATGCAGATCTAGTTCCATCTGATAGATGTTTCCATTGGTATTTTAGCAGTTTCCTGGGTTCAGAGTCTGATGTGAAAAGGCTAAAGGCCAGTTCAATTGCTGTGTCTTACTGCAGGTGGCATTTAAACATGGCATTAGACAAAAAAATTATTTTAGATAAGTTGTTTCAGATTTCAGAATGTCTGCTAGTATTAGCTTCATCTTATATTTATGTATTTAATTCACACATTATTACTTCCTTTTTTTGTCAGATATTAGCTATGAAGCACATTGAGGAAAATTTAATTCATTTTCCTATATTTGGCTATTACACTTCCATCCTAGAAAACAAAAGAAAAAGGACAAAAATCTCTCTCTTAACACTTATTGAACAGAGTTATATAAAATTGTCAGTTCCAAGTATACTGGTTAATTTGTGCTGTTATATCACAAGTTTCTCTAAATGTATTTGTTTTTTCCAGGTGCACATCAAATGGTTTCCATGTAGTAACTGTTCCTTGGAGAATGGAAAACTTGTTCTCAAATTAATTCTGCTGTTCTCCTCTGTCTTTTTTTCTCCTTTATTTCCCTAAGTGTATGTATTGGTATTTGTTATCTTAGCAAACCAATACAAATGGAATTCCAATTAGAATTTTGATTACATCAGTTGTCACTGAGAAGTGAAACTGCAGAAACAGCTGTCAGTTCACTAAGGTTAGCTCAGTTGAATTAAGAAAATTTTCTCATAAATTGAAAGTCAATTTTTTAAATGCAATATTTACTTCCCTAAAAGAGAATATAACAGCTTTTAAAATAGCACTGAAACCTTTTCCATATCAATCATGTTTGAGTTCCACCTGCTTGCGCTATACCATTGCATATACTTGCATTTTGATTCATAACAATGTTTAAAACAGCCCTGTGATGTAGAGTTAACATATTTTCCTCTTATCTTCCACATGACAAATTTTCATGCAGAAAGTAAATATTTCTCTGTTAAAAATAGTGTACTGTTTAAAGCTGTAGATTATAAGAGTTTGCTTTACCAGACTGCCTGATTACTTCTCATGTGTGCAACTAAGGGAGACCACTAAGAGCAGTAATCGACTTCCTTGACAAGTTCAGTTATTATTCCTTTATAGGTGAATCTCAGGGATTATAGTTAAGTGGGTAATGAATACATCATGCACCAAAATGCGTGACATTTTACAGTAGAATAAACAGCTACAGAAAAATATGATAAAAGTGTTCCAGGTGAAAAAACAGAAGCTGTCTACCCCAGCCTTTCTGTTTCAATTCACAGGGCCACAAATGATTTATTGTGGAATTCTCTTTGCATTTTATCCACAATAATGTTCTATATTGCAGGAACCACCTCATCTCTTGATTATTCCCCCTTTTTACTTAAGACTGAGTCTGCTGATGTTTTCTTACATTAAATCTTGTTAATTGTTAATAGATTCTGTGTTTTAAGTGTCATCCACTGTAGACACTTTGGGCTATACCTTGCAGAAATACAATTAGGAAGCAGTTTGCCTTGCACATACAAACGGAAATTTCTCAGGAGGCAGTATTATACAGACTCAGATAAAACCCTCTTTAATTTGTTGAAGTTACTGGAGCTACACCTGGATTTTACTTCTAAGTATACCACAACACACAAAATACATCTGAAACATTAAAGGCTTGGATTAGTTTTAAGATTAATTTTTGGTTTCTAAATCCTTGGGAGAGTTTTGCAAGTATTTGCAATTACATACAACCTATATTTAGTAGGTATTATTAAAGTTACATTCTCAGAATTGTTTAAGGAGATGCTTAATGTCTAAACTAATGCACTACTTTTTGAAATGTGAAATTATCAGCATAACTTTTCACATGAAGAAAAATGGCTTTCTGAAGTGATGAGTTAAAAAATGTATCCATCAAATCTCCCTCTGCATAATGTATTCTGCAATGCATAACTATCAGCAGGATATACACTAATAAGATAACTTGGGCCCCATTCCCCCCTGCTATGATCTTAGTGAAGTATTGTTAACTCTAAAGGCTGTGCAGATCTTCTCTAAATGTCTAAATATACTAACGGCAAATCTACTTTTTAGTACTCAAGCAAGAGGATTGAGGGTGTTGAAAGACATCCTTAAAATCTCATCTAAATATCTCACAAAAGGATATCCTCGGAAGAATCTGGTTTACCTATGTGGAGTCACATACTAAATTTTTAAGACTGGCATCAAGATACTAGCTATATGTCCTCCCTTCCTCTTATTTATTTTTTCCCTAAGCAAAGCTGAAAACTCCAACCTGTGTTATTAGAAACACTTGTAACCCAAAACAATGACAAATACGTGTATTATTACAGAACATTATATTTTATATATATATCTACCTCATTTATTATAGCTTTTTAGGACCCTGGCATATCAAATCCTACACTTATAAAAGAGCCAGATGCCAGACACTGGAAATCGTACTTTGATATATTATAAAGCTATATTGTAAGCCCACTGCATGGGCTTCACATGCACATAAAACCTATAGGTATACAAATAATGTCAAATGACAAAACTAGAAAGCAGTTTCTTCATACTTTATTTTACACTTTCTCACTAAATATATTTACAGGACACGAAGTTTGCTTCAGTGCAATACATAGTAATGTTGCATAAGTACAAACTGTTGAACTTTTCTAAAAAAAATAAAGAAATAAAGCACTTAACTGATGTTACAGCTAAGTATGTAAAGCAACAGTAATAACTCTGAGTGAAAATGCTAACAGCATCTTTTCTTTTCATAAACAATTTCTAGAAACAAACCACAAACTGGCATTACATATTCCAAACTACTAACCCTTGTACAGTACCATATCATTTAAAAAAAAGATTTTTTTAAAAGCACATATACTGTACTGTATGGCAGTCTTTTTCTACAGATACTGACTTACTCTTTTAATACAAATATGATATTACCTTGGCAGTTTTGAAGAACAAAGTTATCTCAAGATATCAAACATCAGTAACAAACTCTGATAAGCACAGCTTCTTGAGAACTTGCTTTAACAGCATTTCTTCACAGTGATATTTATGAAAGGTTGGAAAAAGATTAGCATAAAAGATTTCCATCCTTTTTCAGTTTTTATGCAAAAATCATTACTTTATATTGGTAATTATAAAATTACAAACACTTTCTATAAGTAACTGCATCTGTAATAATGATAGAAAAAGTTATCAGTAAGATACCTAAAATGAGGTTTGCATAAAATGATAGTTTGAAGACAACTAGGTGCATCTTTTTTAAAGTAATAGTAAGGGAGGTAACTTAATTTAGAATAAGCAACACAGTAGTTTAACAGAGACAACCTAATAATCAATTAAAAAAGCTCATTATTTATTCATAAATGTTTAAAAATAAAGGAATTTTGATGAGGTGAAATCAACATTTAAAAAGATATGATGAAACATTTACTCTTAATCTTAGTTTTGGCACTTCATTGGAACAATTACTTTACCAAAGACCAAAATATGTATAAAAGATATAGAGCTCCTTGACATACCTTGCAAATATAGTACATAAGTACTGGCAAACACTGAAAACATAGTTAAACATTCCCACAGATTTGCACTATTCATGCATGCACTATTCAGACAACAGCATTGTATCTATGTTCTTGGCGGTGACAATCTTGTATTACTTAGGTATTTTAGGCCATTTCTTCAGCAGATCTTATTTCTGATTTAAGTCTTACAAATTCCTTAGCAACTTCATCATTGGTCCTCTGAGAAAGTATTCTAAGAATTGTTAACCCAGTTTCATCTACAGAGATGTTTCTCAACAAGGGGTACCAAGATGCACAGCTGCCTTTCTCTGCTATGTTTTGCAGCTGAATAACTGTCATTCCTATAATGCGATCTTCCCTAGCAAAGCAGTAATCTTTCACTGAGAGGTGAAGTTCGTAGGCTCCTGGCTTATCTTCGTTACTCAAAATGCTGCATGGATTAAAAATATGAATTTAGAACAAGGAGTTCAGTTTAATTCCCCTAAGAAATGAACGTACTCTAGAAATCTTGTAAAAATTAAAGTGATAGTTTAATTTTTGTAGTTCCATTTTGTTGCAACAGAATATCATTTAGTTTTAAACCTCCTACACAGTTAACCTTTCAGATGCTACTGAAGATGTAGCCTCTGTTCCCACTGACCTGAACAGAGAATTCATTATTCCCTCAATATCTGAAATAAACACTGTTACCTTTCTCTAGAAAGTACCCAAAATGTTCAACTAGTTCCACAACTATCATAACCACATCTTTAAATCAACTGCAAAAAATAAAGAAAATCACTGGCAGCAAGCTTCAAAAGGAGCTTTGTGGTCAGACACTGAGAAAGTGAACTCTGTCCTAGTCAGGGTCGGTGGGTAAGGGGAGGAAAATGAGTTGGCCTCAGTTATGAAAGGGGAGGAGGAGTAAACAGGTGAAGAGTTGCTCTGAAAAGTACTAAATTTAAAACTCCAGGTTAGGTGGAAGTTTCTTATTGTTTTAAGAATTAAATAATAGAGATAAATAATACTATTAATGTATGCACAACCCTTTACGTATAGATATCTCAACAGTCATAAAGGCTCAGATATCTAGCAGTAATAATTAATGCTTCAGTCCAGATAACTACTTAGGCAAATAGATTCCTAGGTATATAAATAGTTATTCC